TTAGATATATATATATATATATTTTATTGATGAGGCCTATACTTAGGCCTAAGGTGTTATTCGAGTAGAGCCGAACCAAATACTTTATATTTTTCTGAACTTATGCTCGTTTGGTAACCGAGTCAAAAGTATGGTTTGAGCTTGGCTCATTCATAAATCTTAAAAAAAAAAACTCTGTTCGGCTCGTTTAATAAAATTAAAATCGTGAACAAATTGTTCGTGAACATAATTTTTGCGTTTGCAATATACTTGCGTTGTTCGTGCTATGCTCCTTTTGAATGAGCCTAGCTCGAGTTTTTACGAGCAGAATCCAAGTGTTTGCAAACATCTAGTTTGAATAACTTTACATATGACTAAAATAACACTTCGATTAAAATTAGAGTCTAATGGTGATTTCGTATTACACTTTCGTGTTTCACTCATTTAGATAATTGATACTTGAACATGACGAGGTGATATTTGTACAATATTATTCATTAAATTAAATAAAAATATGAGCTAAGCCCGAAAAACGTGGGAGCCAAATAAATTAGTTCATTTTAAATTTTTACTATATTTTTATTTTTATTTTTTTTTATAGAAAAACACAACATTCAAAATAAAACCATTCATAAATAAGTTATAAAAAACACTATGAAGTTAATGATAACAATAAACCACAAAACAACTATTCATAAAACAGTAAAATTATTTATTAAATATATATATCTATATATTTATGGATTTATATACAAATATATATAATTATATAAAACTCATAAATATGTAAATAAATAGAAATTTATTAATGAACGGCCTAAAAACTTGTAGAAAATGATCAACACCACCCAATTTCATGGACTTGCTCCATTTCATGAAATGTTTTTTCATAGAGTTCATGAAGCAGTTTAGCAAAAGATAATTTGTAGTGGGCCATAGGTCAATATTTGTAAATTTCGTTCATAGGGAGGCAAATTTCGTGGCGGACTTTCTAACAAGTTTGGCGGCTTCTTATCCACTCGGACTACACCGGCTCTCTTTCTCTCCGCTGGGAGTGGGAGAATGGCTCATGCATGATAATATCAGGGTGTCGTATCTCCGGCAAGTTCTAGCCTAGGCTTATTGGCCTCCTTTATTGTACCAAAAAAAAAAAATTGTAAATATGTAACTGGACTAGAATTGAAAAGGCGAAATTTTAAACTAACCACAAGATATTAAAGATATTGCATTTCTACAAGGACAGAGATTTTATTTGCATGAATACCTAAAAAAAATGCATTTATTATGGATTAATAAAAAATATCAGTTATCAAAATAACAACTTCCCTACGATTATTGAACTAACCAAAAAAAAAAAAAGGAAAGTTTATATTTTCTACTATTTAGGAAGATTTTCATATGGAAAGGAATCTGAAATTTACAGAACATACACGATCACAAAAATTATTCATCTTGCTGCTATAAACACCCATCGAAAAAATATACATAATATATATAAAAGATATACAGAAAATATATAAGTCCGAAAAATATACGAAATAAACCTCAAAATTTTATCTTTTCGTAATTTTTTTTGTTTACTTTTTGTGTTATTTACATCTCGTGTTTTTTCTGTATATTTGTAGTATATTTTTTGGTTTAATACATGCAACATACATGATCAGACTTATATACAGAAGATATACTTATTATATAAAAACGACGTAAAATACAAAAACATAAGATAAATATCTTGTCATTTATATACAGAAGATATACATAGCACACATTAGACTGTCAATTGTGCTTATGAGAATATATACATAAAAGATTTTCCTCTTCTTCACGGCCTCGGGCGTTTTTACCTCGCTCAGCCTCTTCGCCTTCTTCTTCTTCGTCTTCTCCACGGTCGATATTCGGATCGCCGGTTTTTTTCGGGTTTTAGTTCACACTATGCTTGCACATAACAAATAAATGGCTGCTCCTCCCTTTTTGTCTATGTTCACGTACTGCTCCTTTTCTTTCAAGACAGAAAAATAAAAAACACCAACTTGTTTCGATTCTTTTTGCCCACATGGGCCTGGATTAAAAGCCCAAAATGCTGGATGCACTAAATTCAGAGAGATAATTTGCATTGTGAGCAATCCACATGAAATCCTCTTATTGACTTCAGTCAAGAAAAAAGTATATGGTGCATAATTGAATTGTTTGTTACACGAAGACCAAAACAACTCTTTTCTTTATCAAATTGGGGGGCATTCTCCCAATAATATATTGTCCCATGAATACAGGGGCGGACGCAGCATCGGAAGATCGAAGGGGCACAAACGTAATCGTTACAAAGTTGAAAAAAAAAATTGATATTTATTCTTTTCATGTTCTTATATATTATATCACTTATAATTACATAAATTCGAATCTTTTTCAAAATAACTTTCCAAATACCAATATTTTTTTTTTGCATTGGATATTCTTAGACGCTAGCATTCGTGGACTTCTTTATAATAAATATAAAAATTTTATTGGTTAAGAAATCAATAACAAACCCAATTTAGTAGCTAATTGTAAATATAATTATAATTTTAAGAACACCTAAAATTTAATGTGTATCAAAATCAATGTTGAATTTTTTGTAGAAAATCGATGTAACCCATTTATATATGTTGCCTACAATATAAACAAATACAAAATATAAACAATTTAAATTTTTTATTTACAATATAATTATTTGTACTAATTTTTTTTAAAAAATTGTACAGGGGCCCGTGCCCCTACGGGCCCCTGCCTATGTCCGCCATTGCATGAATACGAGTTAATAATCTATTCACAATTGATCATAAGATTAACAAACCATTTCGTAATTTGTCGAAAGATCATGAAATCTTGACACGTGACTAATTGATAATGTGGCTCACATTAAAACTCACACACTTCAAGAAGCAATCCAAGCAAGACACTTCATATAACCTTAATCGTCAAACTCACACACTTCACATAATCACATGACATATCTATAAAACCCACATACAACAACTCTATCCACTAAAAAATAAAGAAAAGAAAAAAAAAAACAAACATAAAGTTCAAATTTCACACCAAAAACACATTTTCCCTCACAAAACAAAGAAATAAACTATCATCATTCGATTCAACCTTCAACAGAAACTCCAGCAGCCGTTGCATTTGAAGCAAGACTCGACTCATCACCACAAAAGAACGAACTTTTTTCGGGCCCATCTTCTATTTTCTCGTCCGTGAACTCAGTCGGGCAAATGGGCCGGTTTTGAATTTCTCCTGTTTTCGCTCGAGCTTGGGACTTGGACAAGGGGCTCTTCATGGGCTTATTTAAAGCAGCAATTTTTTCCCGAGGAGTCTTTGGTGACTTGCAGCTATTGCCTTCACTCATTCGTGGGCTTGCACATGGCGAGACATTTTCAACGGAATAGCTTTTGTTCCTCCCGAGCTTCGGAGAAATCGGGCGTGTGGTTGGTATCTATTAAGAATTTCAACTGTGTAAGCCAAATTTTATAGTGAAATGTAGATTTTCTTCCTGCTTTGCTTTTTTTTTTTTTTTTTTTCCTGAAAGGATTAACAAACAGCTTTACCTTCTTCAGTTCAACTTTCGGAGGGGGTTCTTTGTAGAAGCTCGGCATGGGTGTAGCTTTGAATGTCAAGCTCTTTCTGAGTTGTTTTATTTCCGCCTCTTGATTTTCCTATTATCAATTCAAGAAAATATGAAATGATGATATTTAGTTATTTACCAAACTTAAGCAAATATTGGTGTGATGAGAGAGTGGATTATCGAGCGAGCACCTTAGATTTTGCTTGTATGTTATTTTTTTCCACTTCCTTTGCGTGTACTTTCTGTTCTATCTTCGAAAAGAACTGACACTCGAAATATATAATGTCATTAAAGACCCATTTTAGTCAAGAAATAACACAAAAAGTAATCGTACCTCTTTTCGTTTCTCAGCACGTTCTTCCAGCCTAAACGAGAATGTCGAAACATTAATAATCCTCTGCTGTGTCCTGTGAGTAAAAGATTTCTGGTTATTATTCACTCATTCATTATTATCTCCTTCTAACAAAAAAAAATCGAAAAAGATGGAAAGCTCGGAATATAAAAACAGCTGATTAGTACGAGGAAGTCGTCGACCGAGCATCCTCATCCTTAACAGATAATGAACTGTTGCTGGCCTCAAACTCTTTTGACACAACTCTGCATTTGTGACATAAATAATCAAAATTTGTCACAAGTAACCATAAGACACAAACATAAAGAAACAATTTTCAAAACTCAACCAAGAATTTATCCGAAATTTTATTTTAAAAGAAAAACCTCGGGACGATCTTTCAAAGTTACTAATCATCCTTAAAATGTTACGACTTACGAACATCCTCTTCCGTGTTTTTGTGTATATATTTATACCGAACATATTCGATACCATTCGTAAAACAGAAAAAGAAACTAACACAAACACTTATATATATATATATATATATGTATATATATATATATATATATATACACGACCTATTTTCCTTTACTGAAGATGCCACGCGCTTAGAATTGACCCCAGGAAACGGGCCCCTCACAACCGAACCAATCCTCGGACTCAAACTCCCGTTCGAAACTTGTGACACGATTTTCGAACTGTTTTTTCGAGATTGCCTTATGTCAGACTCAGACGGGTAAACCTCGATGCTCCTTTTCATCACGTCCGAATGGCGGCCAGAGCCCGGGAAAGAAAGGCTCTGTGTCAAGCTCGGTTTTTTCGTATTCCGGCCAAACACAACCGATATTTTCGAGGTCGACTGGTTCTTGGCCGGTTTGCTGTTCTTCGGGCCACCGGTACTGGCAACTTTTTCGGGATTTGATGATTTAGACTTTGGTACAGTTGGAGAAGGGATCGTGTCGGGCCCTGATGGTTTCGGGCCCGATTCGCCGGCTTTTTTGAATTTACAGGCTTCATCTTCGCCCGGAACCGTGTCACGGATTGACCCTTCATCAAGATTCTTGATTATGACGTCTCTTTCATGTTCAAGTGGGATTCCATTTTCAGACACCATTTTTCTCACAGATAATTAACCTACAGAAATCAGAAAAAAACAGATATTTAGATCATTATAAGTCCAAAGACCGTGAGAATCCCTTTGAAGACGGAGAGAAAACAGATATTTAGATCATTATAATATCTCTTTTCAGTTAAACATTTCGTCAAACACCATCAGGGCACAACCATAAAAAGGAAAAGAGAAACAGAACATCGATCAAGAAACAAGAAAACAAGAACCTTAGACTGAAACTAAACAAGAGAAACTCATAAAGATCACAACAAGTTACAGGATTATGAGAGAGAGAGAGAGAGAGAGATCAAATAAACACAACTGCAAATTAAAAGTGCAGTCTCTCATGGCATGACATCAAACTAATACAATACCTTTTTGCTGTAATTTAAGTTTTATCTATGAATTGCTGAACACCAAATCAAATGTGGGACTTTGAATGTATGCTCTCTCTTTTTAAAAGGTGATATGATATGATATGATGTGTCCGAAAGAGACTCTGAGTTTCAGGTTTGCTCTTTCATGGAAGAAAAAATGAAAAACTGATGATAGCTGGGTAAATTTGTTGGTGGGGGCCATGCGAAATGACGCAAATACCCCTCCCTTGTTTTTATGTTAACTACCACTAAGACGATACCATGTCCCGAGTTCGAGTCACCCGAGGAGAATTAGGAAACCAGTATTGATCCCCTTTTTTAGAAGAAAAAAAAAAAAGAACTACCACTAGGACGGCCTAATCCTTTTACTATAAAAATAAGTAATAATTGGTCGAAATGAAATGAGATTTGATAGTAATAAATAAGGAAAAAATAAAATTATTTTAATTTTTTTATAATGGAAAATAGTTGGGAAATAGTCTAATTTCACCAAAATTATTGAAAATAAATAATAAATATAATATTTATTACCTAGAAATGAGTGGCTTGATTTGGATATTGGTGGTACTCATTTGACTCAAATAATAATAAATTTTCAATTTTTGTGATTTTCTTAAGAAGAGGGGAAAATGTGGAAGGTGATTCTTCTAATGAGTCAAAATTTTATTTCACCAGTCCAATAACAAAGACACTCAAAATTTTTATTTTTTTTCATAAGGACAAAAATTAATATTCATCTTTTAACATTGTAAATGAATTACAAAAAAAACGCAATTTAGTTATGAGTAGTGCTATTAAATTAAATGAGTCTGGCTCGGTTCGGCTCAGCTCAGCTCGTTAAGGCTCGAGTCCGATGCTTTAACGAGTCGAACTCGAGCTCATTTAAAATTCGTTTGGTTAATGAGCCGAGCTCGGCTCGACTCTAAAATAGATTTTTTTTATGGTTCGACTCGTTCGTTAAGGCTCGAGCTCGAGCTCGAGCTCGATTTCAGGCTCTTTAAGGGTTCGAGCTCGGCTCGACTCGACTTGTTTACAACCCTTGCTTGTTATGAGTCTCTTGTGGATTTTAGTTTTACTCATCAAAATCTTATATATATCGTTATCAGAATTTATTAACTAGCCTACTACATAGAGAATCTTGTAGGAATTTAATATTGTGACTGAGTTACAAAATGATATTGCAGATAAAGGTGGTCATACCAAATGGTTTGATTTAATATATTTTAATTGAAAGACTAAATAGATTGGATAATTAATGCACAATTACAATATTATATATTATCTTATAACAAATTATTATATTAAATGAAATATTGTCAACATAAGTTGCTTGCAAGCCATAAAAAATAAATATATTGGGTGATGTTACATTAATTAAAAATTTCACACCATAGGCAAGATTCATTCATTTTAATAATATTCC